TGTGTGTGTGTGTGTGTGTGTGTGTGTGTGTGTGTGTGTGTGTGTGTGTGTGTGTGTGTGTTTAACAGCCAAGACAAGACTGAAGTTTTGCTTAGCTTGTCCACCTGTTCAGACCTGCTCTGCTTCCACACTTAGGAGGGAGGGGTAGGGAATAATTAGGGCAAATATCTCTTTGTGTGTGTGTGTGTTTGTTGTGTGTGTGTGTGTGTGTGATTGAAGTGACGCCTTCCTGCTCGAGGGGTGGGCCCATAATTTACCACCCACCATGAAAAAGTCAGGGCGTACTGCTGCACCGCTCAGGAACACAATAACAGAGAGAGCAGTGGGGGTGAGTGTTGATTAGTCGTCGTCTAGTCTGGGACACGTGGATGCATGTTTGACGCACACGCTGACCTTCACAGCATGTTTTAGGGATGACTCTCGGCAACTACCCTTTGCTGAACATCTGGGAAAATGGAGTTGTTGCTACGTTTGTGTTTGGCAGTGCTGATCATCTGCAGCGGCCATCTTAAATTTGAGCAACTCCAGTGTTTCATGGGATATTTTGCTAACAGACAGACACAACATATAGTTAATGTCAGAGTTTTAAGAATAAAGCTTGTGTGTTCAGTTTCTCTTGTATGTTGAGGATCAGTCTCAACTACTGCTACTGACGATTAGCATTTTTGTGTTAGCTAGTGCCAGTTAGTTGTGACAGCCATCTTGAATTGAGTTGACGGTAAAGGTTAATTCATCATAGMTGTGCATTCTATGATTATTGCCTAAAAGTTTTTATAAAATCATAAATAAAACACTATTGCTTTTTTTGTCTTTGCAGGCGATACTTTTGTTGGTTTATTACAGCACATATTTAGTAATCAAAGATAATAATAAAGAAATGCCAAATCATTTAATAAATCAAAAATACAGGGAAATAAGCCATAATAGACCCCCAAATAAAACAGTTTATTTTTCTTTAGAGAACACAAATGTCCAAATAAATCAGTGTAAAGTGTTTTGAGCATTAGTGTGGTAACTTGAATACTTTCAGCACATTCTCCCCTTGCATTCCATCTGCAGAAACTTGTCAATTCTTATAGGTCTATTTCCATCCCTGTGGCTGCAGAACATTGCAATGCCACGGCAAATCAGTCTCCAAAAAACCTGCGAGCTTTTGTTGTTGTCAGGCCCTGATTTAAAATGCCTCACTGGTGCAGCGGCCCACAGTGTCTGGCAATGAGCCCACATTCATGTGTGCGTGTGTGTGTGTGTGGCTCTCTTTCTTTCTCTGTCTTTATCAAAGCCACTCATGTCTTACGCCCCGTGCGCTTCAGCTGCTTATCGCAATTCTCCACAGTCGAGGATTCCGAATTAGAGCGGAACTAGAGGAAGTGAACAAAAAATACTTATTGGATGAAAAAATCCTCTCAGGGTAGGCGAGGCTCCCTGTGGGATGCAGTCACTGAGGCAAAGGTGGATGCTGTTTGACCAGTACACATGTCAATTAGGAGCTACACCAATTTGCTTTGTATGCTTTAAATATCTGTATATTACATAACAAAGCCTACGGATTTCTAGCATTACTATGTTCAAAGATTTGAGCGTGAACCTTGTTGGCTGAAGTTGTAACAGTTTGTGTTATGTGTTCTTTTTCCTCCTAAGGCTTAAATAGCTTGTTAGTGGTACCCAAGTTCCTCAAGGTTTGGCAAGAAAAGTCTGTTGTGTCCCATGAGCATTTAGGGTTGTGCTGCAAATTATGCAGCGCAGTGGACGGCAGCAAATTGATTGTTTTTACAACTGCAGTAGTTATTTATGGAATGCATGCCATTTTTTTTAATCCTCGTTGAAGAGTAGAAATAAAGAAGAACTTTGTAGACCTGGAATTAAGTTCATTTAACTTCTCTTACTTTGATGGTTTTCTTCACTGCTGATATCCTGATGCATCTCAGTAATCCAGGTAAAAAATCAAAAGGAAAAAAATTGTATAGGTCTTCTGGACGGGTTCTTCT